TCACCATCAGAACTCAGAAACAATATTCTAACTCGGCATGTCGTTGGATTAGGAAAGTCGTGGTGCGTGTCTCCCAAAGAAACTGGCAGCGTGATGGTAACAGGCTTCAAGAACTCAACCATTTCGTCGCACACTATTCGCAGTACAGGTCCAATGAGTATATCGTTAACCACAAACTCTTCACCTGGTACTTCTTGCACCTTAAGAGAAAATGCGTCGAAAAGATAAACGCAAGAATTCATAAGGGTGAACCTATGTTAGGGTAAAGAGTTGCAGGACCTCCAACAGTCGAAGACAGATTCAAGCAACAAACTTAGAGTACATTTTCAAGGAACCAAAACTTTTCAGTCCCAAAATCTACCGAATCTTATCAATAGAACTTCGCTTGCCAAACGACTCGACATTTCCATCATTAAATATTAAAGATAATCACGCACATTTATTGTAATGACACAGATGCCCTTCGCTTCTGTTATATTTCAGGAAACTTCTGTACCTTCATTCGAAGAAGAATCCTTGTTTTCGCAGTAACAGCCTTTTTCGGGATAGTAACACTCACACTTGGATATTCAGGCATGATGAAGGAACCGCCAGTTGGTGTAATCGTGAATTCAGGGGAAAGATGGAGACGACTGACTACTGCATATGTGGCGCATTCTGTGATATCCGCTTGTACAACAGGGAAGTGTAAATTGGGAATTTCATGGCTAGATTTATACTCTTCTTCAAAATCTATTTCAATAAAGCATAGAACAAGAAAAATATGGTTAAAGTTATTTTTTAAGAACCAAGTAAAAGACTGAATGAGAGTGAATTAATGAGAATTCTTAGATGTTTGCAAGTGTCAACATTTAAGTTTGATTATTAAAACAAAGTTTAGCCGTTGTTTAACAAACCTACACAATCCTTTCGTTAGGTGAACTTTTTATCTGAGCATTCATTTTTGTGAACAGAGTCAAGAGGGCCAAAAGCTAACAGTGGAAGGACATTCATCGAATTAAATCAACTTGCGTACACCCATGGTTAGGGTTAGACTCCGTGTAAGCGACCGGTCGTTAGTCTTTGCGCAAAACTAACACAGAGAAAAGATCTTCGCGCGCTTGAATGCTCCTTAATTTTGGTGTGAAAGTCGCTCAATGATCATCGTCCATCATCATCAAGAATAGCTCTGGGAAAATGTCTTCAAAGCGTTTTACCGTGTAAATATTTATTCCGTGTCTACATATGCCATGCTAAGAGGGTAGCAAAAGGTTTATACGTGACGGGTGATTAAGGCAACAATTAACATGTGACGCGTGAATTTAACAGAAAGGCAAGCGTGCATGATTCGTGAATTTATGAACTAGCGTGAGGCGTGATTTGCCTCCTGAATTGTACGTGCTCCGTAATTTTTTCTTTCATTTCGTGAAACCCCAAATTTTCCACTCTATGTTAAGATATTCCTGGATGCAGGTTTTCTCACAGATCCGCCAATGTTCGACCAACACGTACACTTAACGATGCATCCAGTTCCTTATCCCTAATCAAAGGCTTTTACCTGAGATAGTTCTGAAGTCTTCCACACCAATCACCTCTTCCCATGCAGCAGTCTCGTTGTGGATCAGTTTGTACAACACCAATTCGTAGCCGTGTAGGCCGGGAGAACTGTGAGCGAATGACATCTTAACTTCAGCTTTAAACGTGAAAGTTTCCTGACTGCTGGAAGAAATTTCAATCACGTTGCTGACAAGAGCCTCGTGCTCCTGCAAAGGAGGGCAAAGGACTGTGGGTTTCCATCGGTGGACCGTTATCAGGGTGGGCTCAGATACAGCGTCACGAGGAAAGGCTAGGTGCACAGCTCCTAGCTTGATATTCCAGTGTACGTCCTCTCTAGTGAGTGTTTCTCTAAAAATAATCACAAAGTCATGAAGTTAGAATGGAATCAATTTTTAATTGTAATGCTCAATGTCATCGACACTGCCTTCGTTTTGGTCCAGTTTTTTCGCTACAATGCCTGAATTGCAAGCCAGTTACCAGTATCAGATCAAGTATATCTCGCGTTGAACAAAACTTGGGAAAATTCCTCTCTGTATTCGCTTAAGAAGGTAGTCATTTGCTGACCTTCTGAACGAACAAAAACAATGAGAAAGATAAATCAATTTATTAAGAGTCCAAACTCGTTTCTTTTCCAGGAACTAACAATTTTCTCGTCCGGCCCGACCCAAGCCGACCTAAGCCGACACAAAACTGTCCATCTTTTTCTTTCCTACTTTTTTTCTTTCGGCTCACATCTCGAACCCAGGTTTCCTGTTCCTGCTCGCGACATCTGGGACTAACGTATAGCTTTTCCTATTCTTGCTCACGACATCGCGTTTGACCCTCGCACAAGAATTTTTGAATAACCGCGTTTATCATTGGAGAAATGGTCCTATTCTGATTTCCACTTACTTATGTATCGTTATCCTGTCTGGATCTTGTTCCTGCTCACTCTCTAACTCTTCTCCCTCTTCTTCTTGAATTGCTGATTGTTCCATCTGCCCGATTACTTCTCGAATCTTATCGCTGCCATCGCTAGTACTATCGAGATCCTCATCATCATCATCATCATCATCGGGAGGAAAGTCATCTTCGTCTTCATCATCATCACTGGACATCTGCTCAGCTTTAACGATAAAATATTTCTTTTCGAAAAATTTTATTTTGAAAGGCGTCACATTTAACCCGTCTACGCCTCATTACTGTCTATTGGAGGAGAGAGGGACCTAGGACTCCATATGGAACAACAGATCCACAAGGGTTCTTTCATGATTCCCGGGAAAAAGGTGATAAATGCACCTGCTTCTGGAAGATTCCATGTGTCTCCCTTGTCTGTTATTCTTTCTCTGTGGAGCAAGTAGACATTTAGGGCATTAGTCTTTACTGTTCCTTGTTCCCAGCCCCACCTTTCTGCACTCACTCCTTTGAAAGGTTCATGAGAGCCCAACAAGACAAGAAAAATCCCACAGAAAAATCATGGCAGAAAAATAAATTACCTCCTGATCCTAGTCTTTTTGGCATCTGCAGGGTTTGGCAAAGTATCTTCTTCATCTGATATCTCCACTTCAATTTCTTCCTCCTCCTCTTCTCCAACTTTTGATTTGGCATCAGGCAATTTGTCCCCCTCAGAGGCTAGAAAAGTTTTTTTTTTCATCAAAAAAAAGCCTTAAAAATTACATTTCATACTGAAACTGCCTTCCGTTCAAATTTCATTGAAGCTAAGCTCAATATTAAACTTGTTAATTGCTTTCTTTGAGGCAACCAACAAGCTCAATATATTTTAGCAGTATACTCTTTTAATTCACTTTAATTACCTGCGTCTCCACAATTCTGAGTGTTAAAGCAAGGGTAACTATTTTCG